ATTTTTGGAAAAAGTTAGTGCTTTTAGAAATAATAGGAAAAAGGACAATAATGAGAGGCGACAAGATTTAGGGTTTAATAATAGGAAATTAGAAGAGCTAGGAGTGCTTATATTAGAATTTAACAAACTAAAGTTAAGGTTTTATGAGGAGCAGAAAATTATTTCAAAAGTTGAGGTATGGCCATGTAATGTTCCCTCTTGTGGAGAGAACATTTAGGGAAAATAACCACTCTTAAGATGACTTAAAACTTTATTTACAACTTACTACCTATAGCTACTACATTACGATTATTACTGACTGCACGCAACGCTTTACTTAATCAGTGAATTAATAATTAATTGTCACGTCATGCGCAAATCAATATGTAATATTCTTATTCCATTACAGAAGTAAGTTCTTGTAAATGCGTAAATTTTTGGTTTGTAATTTTAATTCGGTTGTGGTATAATCGGCAGCGAGGCTGTTTGTTTAAATTTTTTGTCTTTGAGCGATAAGGCAATTCAACATAATCATCGTCGTAGCTTAATTTGTAAAGTATTTCCCCATCCGGAGAATACTTGAAAGTTTTCACATCAGCTACCTTAGGGTCATTTACGGTTCGTCCAGGTCGTATGGATTGGTATGTATAAAGGTCTTTATCATCATATATTTCATAAAAAAATCATGTGTGACATAATGGACATCCAGAGGAAAAGGCTTACGTCTGGCTTCCTTTATTGCTAAGGAATATTGGCTAGGTATATGAATTCCTTTATTCCTTATTTTCCGTTCGATTAGTGCATGGGTAGAGTCACACTCCATTTGAGTGTGACCCTTCTCAAAGTACTTTTGAAATATTGTTATACCCGTTTGCACTGAAAATGACAATAGCGCATTTGATAATATTACATTCTTATTTTGATACCCGCAATTATCGGAGTGAATGTTTATTGGCCTGGGCTCCTCCAGACAATGGTTTTCCAGATAGTCCATTATACAACTTGTAAACACCGATGAAACTAGCTCTCCTTCACTCTCATTCCAGCAGTAGTTGTCAGATTTATGCGTCTCAACATTATATATCGTACAGTTATGGAACTGAAGCTTGCTCTTAAAGTATAATTTACTAGCAAACAATTTAGGGCATAACTGAACCGCTTGTACGTCCATCGTCAAGGTATAACACTTTTTTTCTAATGCATCAGCTATAACGTGAGGTTAGTTCGGCGCTGTAAAACTCAAACCCCGCCGCATAAACGGCCAGCTAGCTCAGATTCTTAATTAAAAGAAGGATGAGAATCTTCCACAGCGGTTTGTTCGTTTGGGCATATAACATAAGTTTTTGATCGTTGGTAGTTACTAGAAATGATTAGTTGAGCGCCACCCAATTTTGCACAAATTCTGACCTCTCCTGTATAGAAATTGGGAAAACACAAGAGAGCCAAATAATAAATTCACTACGAGCAATTCTGATTTATTAATCCTGGCAAAACGGTGCAGGATCGGCAAATAAAATGTATCTTCAATACGACAATAACAAATACTTTAAATGACAAAAAAAATAATCCCCAAATAAATTCATGAACACTTCCCTAATAATTACGTTACCAGACCCCTACAACAATGATCGAGCAAAAATGTAGTTAAGATTTCAATGGATTCAAAGATTGAATTAAGTTAACCCGAATAACAACTCATATAGGCAACACTGGGTACAAGTAAATTAAAAATCTTACCTTGAATAACACATACGCTGTCTTCTCCGAAAAAGAGCTCTCCTTCGAAGTTCCAGTTCTGTAACACAAAAACAAACCCCAAGCTACAACGCTCGGAACGATTATATGAGCCGGAAGGGCCAAAAATAGCTTACTCGTAGCCGGCTCGTTTACCCATACGTTAAATACAGGTGCGTTGCTCTTGAAGAGAGCCACGACCTCAAACACTAGACGCGAACAAAATACAAAGCTCCAATCATAAATCGTCGGAAGGTTACACTAGATTAACGGTATTGAAGCAAATAAAAAAGGTTGTGTAAAAGATCGTATCTTCCGAAAATTCCACAATCAGCTGGTCGCTCCCGGTATCGTTTAGGTGTTAGCGCTTATCTACTCGGTGGTACGCCGGATAGCTGCCGGCAATCAACAGGTGTTCGTACTCCGGAATATTCGCAAGATGCAAATTCATTTACTATCCCAAAATTATGCCAGGTCAATGTCCTCCGCACACAAGAATGTGCAAGGATATACTATAAACTATACCATACAAGGATTCGTCCGTACAAGGATTGACCGGTACAAGAATTCATCTACTACATGGACCCCCTAAAAGTAATGAAGATGTAACACTCCCTTAACGAGATTTTTAATAACATACCTGAAATCGTCAGGAGGGTAATGAAAAATACTTAAATCAATGAAATATGGAAATTATCCAACCTCAAATTGTGAATCTGAAAGAATTTTAGATAACATAACGTAAAAGAAAGCCAACGCCATTTCACTTACATGTAGGTAGGGCGATGAACTTCAACCAGATATAGCCTCGCAATGGAGAAAACGGCTTCTGAGTTACACTACTCGACAACGCCAATGAAAAGGTAAAATTGCCAGAGATTTCACGTGAATGATGGCAAATATTACCCACTGGTTTAAGAAGAATTCACAATGCCACGCTCTACAACAAGTACAACCTCGTTGGCTTTAAAACGGAAATGAAGTGAAAAAATAACGCGATTCTGCGCGAGGAAAGAAACACGCGTACAAGTGACGCCATCTCACCTATATCCTACCTAACCTAGCAAGCGGTAATTTTTGAAATTTTAATATGAATAAACTAAACTGTTACACAGCCTTGTCCTTTTCTTTCTCTGTTGTCGCTTTATTTTTATCAATCACGTGTTTCTGGTATGACTCTTCTTCAACCTGACCGACTTTATGTGAACAACAAACATCGCATTGATCCTTTTTAGGTAGATGTATTGCTATGTTATTTTCCTCTAGAATTTTATTGAACGAAAATATTGACAAAGGCAATTCATTACTTTTAGTGCATTCCTCCTTGTAAACATTATAGATCTCTGTTTTATTACGGAAACTTTCTTCAAGGTAAAGTTTATTTGAATATTTTCGGCAATAATGCGATGGTAGTTTTGGAAAACGGTTTACGACTTGCCTTGCAAATTCAACTCTTTTGGCATCATCGGCTTGTTTTGTTCTTTTGATTTTTTGGCAAAGGCATTCCATGCTGTACAGGTTCAGTGAGCCAGTTTCTTATCATCCTTTCGCCAATTCCAAGTGTACACATAAACATTCGCTTGCAAACTAGAAGTTTATTGGCATGAAGCTGCAAACTATAAACAATAGTCCCAGTTCGCCTCGACGCAGTTTGAGTATAGGATCTTTTTTTTTTCAATATACTGAGCCAAACCTCTTACATACATTTTCTTTTGTTCCCAAGTCAACGTCCAAAATCTGTTGAATATTTCCTGTCTTTCAATTTCCGAAGATTGTTTGCATTTACGTTTACTGCTACACATACACGAGTCACCCAGCTTGCGAGCAGGTCTTTTGACATTGTGTTGAATAGATCCTGTCTTGCTTCTAGTGTAGCCTATGTACTGTTCTCCACGCATTCTCAGTTTTTTATGTTTGTTTCTATCCCATTCATTTTTGTCTGCGGCCTTCCTCCTTTTAATATTGCCACCAGCTTTTTCTTTAGCTTTATTACCAAGTGCTTCTTGGGCATTGTACACGTTATCTGGCTCTAAACTTTCCATTAATTCATGACTGATGAAGAAGTAATTAGGTTCTACTGGTTCCAAATTTACCAATTCGTCGCTTGAAGGAATTCCTTCTAAATCAGTAAGATTTACTGGAAGAATCACAGAAAGGTTTTCATTAGAAAGGGCGCTATTATCAGAAACCAAATTATCTGGTGCTGACTTCTCTAGTGTAAGGCTTTCATGTTGTAAAATTCCATTATTAGAAATCAGACATTCGTATGAAGTGTCAGGTTGAAGTTCTAACGCAAGAACATCGGCCGCAGAATCAGATGAGGTGGTTGCCAAAGCAGCTTTTAAAATACGAGCACTTCGAGTAGACATCCTGTAAAAGTCAAAACAATCAAGTAAACAGGTGAAAATAAAAAAAATTTCAGTTATAAAGCTCGCAACTCTAAACACGCACAGCTTTGTTTTGCAAAAAAATCCTATTAATTTTTAAACTTACAAATTGGCAGCCTACACACAGCTTTAAGTTATTTGTACATGAGGGATACGGCTTATTGCCTGGTAGTGCAATACGCCGTAACCCACAAATTAAAAGTAAGGTTAAGGCTATGAATTCGCATTTTCTTCGAAAGATTAACTCAATAAAAATATTGTTCGAAAACTATAGTTCACGATACTTTTTCTCTATGATTAAAATGTACACTTACCTTCTATTATATAACACAAAAAACTGTTAAAATTATTTAAATAACTACACCTTGCAGCGTTTTTGTTACAGCACTAACAAAAGCTAAACAACTTGGTAGGGTTACGACATATTGCACTGAAACGATTTTGTGTGGCTTCCGACATAATATTATTGCGCTTCACTTTTACTTTCGTTTGGGATAAGACCTTTTGAAATAATGAAATAGAGAGGTTTCTTTATCGTAATGAGGCTTACGATGTATTGTAGAGAAATAGTTTTATTTGTTACTCAGTTGTAAACGTTGATTAACAAGACAAAACGCAAACGGGTAAACGTCATGTTTAAACGCTACTGACTTGTAAAACTGACAGCAGACTTGTAAAACTGACAGCAGACCTGTAAAAATGTTACAAGTTAGTAATCTAGTAATTTCATTGGCCAGAATTAATGCGAAGTCTCTGTTACATGGATAACATGATATTTTAGACATTTCTTCAAGATTAATTTAATAACTAATTATTTACGTTTACTATTGTTTACAAATGAGTAACAAATAAAATATTGTACATTATACGCCAGGTAATAGTTTTTACTGGCTCTAGGAGATGACAAGCTCGCCTGGTTGCTGTAGTGTGAACTGCTCAAATCACTCCCGAAAAGGCTTTCGACTATTTGCATTTCCACGTGATAGCAAACGTAGTGCGAAATGGGTGCAGAATTGCCATCGGGATCACTGGGAGCCCACTGCAGCTTCACGTTTATGTGAAGTAAAAGATATGATTAAATAAAAAGAACTGTCTCCTTAAAATAATTTTATGTTACAGAAGCACTTTGAAGACTCTCAGTTCGAACTAAGTCGAGCCGATGGCAAAAGAAAGTTGAAACCGAATGCTGTTCTCACCCTCTCCGATGTCCCCAATCCTCCTCCACAAATTCAGACAAGGAGACTTCTTAAGGACAAAAATGTAAGTGATAATTAACCATTACAATAGCTACCTACGTACTTTTTTGTGTTTATGCTACACATTTCGTAATCTATAAGGCACGCTTTTCATAAGATAGTTAGGTAAAACGAATTCCAAATTAGTCACATAACTTGTATTTATAACTGGTTTAGGGTCCGAATGCACAAAAGTTAATCAAAGCTTAACAACGCCGTTAACTCATTTGTTTCCATTAATAAATCGAGTTAACGGCTCCGTTAAACCTTAAACGTTAAACTTTTGTGCATTCCACCCTAGGTATCTTATCTGAGTAAATTACCTGTAAAGCCACGATACTTACAGGTTGTAATTTACTTTTAGATTGCGTCTGATGTTGAAATGCCTCTGGAATCTACTCAACCTCTGTGCATCAATGATGAAATGCCGACAACCTCAAGTATATCTCTTACAATGATGAAAATACAGAAGCAAATGCTAACGTGAGTACTTAATACAATAAAATATATTTTAATTGTTAGTATAAAAAGTAAAACTAAAGCACAATATAAAAAACACTGTACGCGTTTCGATAGCAAAGCTGTCATCATCAGTGAACAACTGAACAAACAAGACAAATACAACCCTATTTATACCTATTACAAGTGAAACTGAAAGTTTACGCGTTCTGATTGGCTGAGATGACCTCCGTCATCGTTATTCATTAAGAGGCGTTTGTTTTTTCTAATCTCTAAACAGTCATAACAGTCTAATTTACTTTTTCTATTTACTGGCTTAATTAGGCAAATATCGGCAACAAGATAACTGTTTTCAAGGTCATGTACGGTAACGCTAGATTTATCCTAACAGTTATATTGGGAATGAGGTATGTGCTCTTTGAAACGAATTTTCAACGATCTTTCCGTTTTCCCAATATACACTTGATTACAATCTCTTCAAGATATTTTGTATATTCCCGATTTATCCTTTATATCTACGGGGTCTTTCGGATTACCTTACAGTTTTTGTATACGAGCCCCGTCCAGCTTCAGTGGGCCAACCTGGTAAATTTGCAATTATTGGCATATATTGGCGATCATTTAAACAAATAGACGCATAATTCTTAATTTTAATTGTGCAAACAGCGTCTTACAATTCTATTACACAAAAAAACTAAACTAATTATAACACTTGGAGCTGACTACAGTGAAAAAAGGGGAAACAACAAAATTTGTGATTTTTAACTCTAAACAAGAATTCGTAACTCATTTTACCACTGAGTAACATCACCTTTATTTTTAATTACTGCTTCAATTCGTCGAGGTATAGTATTTATTAAGTCCTGACACTCATCTGGAGTTAAATTATTCCAAATGTTCATCGTTAGCCATATTTGGGTACTGAAGTTTTTTTGTTGATTTTTTATGACAAAACACACTATTGAATTCAAATATTTCCTAAATTGCTATAAATAGCTTATTTTGTCTTATATCTTAACGATATCTTTTATATCTCCTCTATTCCAGTGGTTTTTTTGCCGATTAAAGTAAAAAAAACTACAAATTTTGTGTGTGGGCGAACTGAAGCTGGGCGGGGCTCATACTACCATCTGAAGTTGAAACTGTCTGTAAATCTAATTTGGAAAAGATTATAGATAAACCCTTAGTACTTATATTATATTGTGGTTTTTGGTGCTTTAGTTTTATTTTTTATAAGTTCAACGGCCACAGTGATTCCAGTGCTTCCAATTTAATCGTTAGGTCTTGTAACTAGTGTTGATTATTTTTTGACACATCTGCAATTATTTAATATTGTAGATTCAACGAAGTAATAATTTGTGATTTTCTAGAATGAAATATCAAATCTAAAACGGGAATTATGGCGTGCCCAAAAAGAAATCCAACGGCTGAAAAACCAAGTGCAAAGAACCAAGGAAATGTTACAGAAAATTCCATTTTTTTCTGAAGAATTAATTCAACGTATAACCACAGGGAAAAAGAGGGCCGCTTGGACACCTGAATTAATCAAAACAGCACTAAACATTCGCTTTGCCGTAGGATGGAAAGGATATATATATAATATATATATATCTTTTATATATATATATATCTTGTGAAGAATAATTTCCCACTACCTTCGTACCGGACTATATGTAGACACTTGTCCAAATTTAGCTTCGAACCTATAATCTTAACTGATATTCTGCCACGACTTAAAGAAAAAGTTTCGGCAATGAAGCATTCCAATGAAAGGCAATGTGTTTTAGTTATTGACGAAATGGACATAAAAAGAAGTGCAAGCTGTTATTAACAACGATACTATGATGGGCTACAGTACAATGGCTCCAGAAACTGGTAAACTTGCCAATCAGTTAATAGTTACGTTAACGCTACGTTAATGCTACGTGGGCTAAGTAGCAATTGGAAACAAGTCGTTGCTTGGCATTTAACTACCAAGAAACACGAAGGTGATTTATATGCATTTGTGAAAAGCGTTATTGAAGCGGTGGAAAAATGTGGATATCACGTGAGAGGCGTAACAAGCGATATGGGGCCCAAAAATAGAAGTATGTGGAAGCAATTTGGAATTAAAGTTGGAAGAAATGATGACACCTTTTTTACTCAACATCCATTTCGAAGTAGCGACAAGTTATATTTTTGCCCTGACGTACCCCACTTACTTAAAAACTTACGAAACGCATTACTATCACATGATATACTATTGCCTGCCGATATAGTTTCAAGAGAGAAGTTTCCAACAAATGTCGTCTCATTTCGTTATATAAAACAACTTTTTGAGATCCAGAAGAGGAGCAATTAGTTAAGTTTGGCACCACAATTAACGGAAGAGGCAATCAATCCAATGCGGTTTGAGAAAACGAGAGTAAATTTAGCAGCCTATATAATCAATAATAGAACAGCAGCTGGTTTACAGACATTAGTGGAATTGCAAAGAATTTCTAGAAAAGCGTTAACTACTGCGTGGTTTCTAAGATCATTTAGAAAATGGTTTGACATTTTGAATGGACGCACAGTAAAAATGTCAATAACGAAGAAAAACAAAAGTATGCAATGTCGATTCTTACATGAAACAGCCCTGCTTATAAAGCAAATAAAAATCGGTGACGAAGGTAATTGGAAACCTATCCAATCAGGAATTTTCCAAGCATCGAAAAAAGTGATTGAACTGACAAATAGTTTATTGGCAGAAGGTCAAAAATACGTGTTGACTGCTCGCTTCAATCAAGACTGTATTGAAAATCTGTTCTCTGTTATAAGACGACATGGGAACACAAATCCAACAGCACTTCAAACAATGCGCAGTTTGAAATTAATAACCTTCTCACAATTTGTTGGGTATTATGATACTTCACAAAGTTATGAAGACGACTGTTCGGAGCATTTTGTGAATATGTTTGGTAAAACACCTTTAAAGAAAACGGTTCCGGTGTCTGTGCCTATAGATCAGTGTTTAACAGGTGCGAAGTTAATTCCTGATGAAGAGCCTATAGACATTCAAGTAGCTGTAAATAGTGACGTCGAAAACAATGCTTTGAACAATTTATTAGGTAGTGTGTTAAATAGTGTGATTAAAAAACGACAATTATGTACAAAATGTATAAAATCGTTTCGAAAAGTTGAATCTTCAGATAGAGAGGAAGAAATATTAATAAAAAATGTGCGATCACAAAAATTAAACTTTCCTTCTGCGTTTCTTTTTGACACATTTCAATTATTTAATGTTTATGTAACAGACATTTATTAGAATGTTCAAACCATCCTAGGATGATTGCACATTTAACACAATTTGTGCTTTTGTGCCATCCAGGCAATTACAGTTGTGCAAATTGCAAAAGTATTTTAGCCATATTAAAAGCATTTGTTGCCTGCAAAATTAATATTTTTATTAAAAACAAGAATGTAAATGTGAAATTAGCTAATAGAAGAAAATATGGTTCAAAAAGTTCTTATATAACTACTTTACGAGTGTAAATAAACGAGTAAATAAGAAAGTATTAAAGTTTTTTTTTATTGAAACGTTTGCACCAACAAATTTAAGCAGAACTTAGCTTAAGCATCACTTAAATTCCATGACAACGATTATTGAGACAATGTTCCCATGGATTTTAAGCTGCACGTAAGCTAAGTACTACAGCTTAAATTTTTTGGTGCAAACGGCCATAAATCAACATGTAAAATCTTTAGCAAAACTAAAAAGTAGCACAGTATATCATTTGATTATGTTTGAAATTAATTGAATGAAACAATAAAAAATCTCATTCAATCTTGACCGCAAGCATCCACATTTGGTCACTGCCGACGACAAACTCCAATCCCAGCCCCTTGATCTCACTGTAAAAGTAAGTTTATCGTATTTTTGTAAAGTTGATCATGTTTTAATTTGAATCGTCCTTTCAGAATCTACCGCGAGCGTCAACTTCAGGCGTGAAGCCCCAGCGAAAGCGTGCTGCGCCGTGTGTAAATAATGTAAGTGTGATTCAATTAACCAATTGTACATATTGAAAGTGTAAAAATATGTTATAGGATAATCCCCAAGCGTCTACTTCAGCACAACATCCTTCGAATATCGTCGGAGGAGGTGCACCGCACCGGTTTCTCGTGTTGTCAGAGGGTGACCGAGTTATAAAAAAATTTAATTTGACTTCCAAAGTGTTGTCAATTACATTTCGAGAACCCGAGCTGTCTGAATCACCTCTTGAATGGCTTAAGGTACGATTAGTATGATGTTTTATTTAAGAACAAGTGTATTCATAACCATTTTACAGAATTCTCTCACGGAACTAATTGGATACATTACAATGGGTCGAGATCGTGCTGTTCGCATAGGAGTGATGATATCCAACGACACCTTTCCAGATAAGCCTTTGGGTTTTTCTAAAATTGGGTGAATTTGTACTCAAATATATTCTGTGCATTTCAGACCTGTTATAGTTAGTTGAGTTGAGGAAATTCCACTCGTTGAACCCGTCCTCGCAGCAAAATTATTTCTAATTATATCATGGTTATTTGTGGACCTGGGGGTATCTTGAGATTGTAATTCAGTTCTTTGAACAACTATGGGTTCTGGAAAATTTGATAATGAGCATAATTAAGGAGTATAATTACAAATGTGTGGTGAAGAGATGAAAATGTAAGGGACAAACATAATACATACCAATTTGTGAGTGTACTTCAGAAGAACAGCTTGGTCTTTTTACAGGTGGGGGCCTGGAAAGCTCGAAATCATTACTGTCTTCATCATCAGATGATTGACAAAGTTTTTTGGTGGCCTTCGATTTTCGTTTCTTGTTGCCTCTGCGATTGAGCTCTTCTTCACTTTCGAGGTTTGATGATACTGATGAGCTTCTTTTACTTTCTTTTTTGCTTTCAAAATATCATCTACAATTTTAAGACTAACATAAGCATCATGTCATGACAACAACATTTGACATTTTGAAAGCGGTGTCGTTGAAAATTTGGATTTCAGTACAAACTTTCGATTATGATGTATTGAATATTTATACAAAACTGTGTTAGGGCCATATGCACAATCTGTTAAATGGGTGTAGGCTTACAAACGCTTGATAACCACGAATTTGCTATAAAACATATAATGAAGAGTCAAAACTTACCCTGGATGGCCATCCTCTATACAAACAATACGCATTTAAATAAAAAACAAACGACAAACTAATTAATCTTAACGTCCTTAAAAAATATAGTTCCTTGCACAAAATAAAACGCACGTCAACCACTGGCACGCGTCGACCCCGCTCGCTTACTTTCGTCCTCTCTCGAGAAAACCGCGCGCACTTTGATTTAAGTTAGTTTAGATTATTAACACAATCAAACTTAAGCAAAGTTTAGTTTAAACGTATCCATAGCAAAATTGTTAAGGCGATTGTTGCCATGGATGAAGCTAAACTCGGTTTAACCGACCCTACTTACAGCCATTTTTATTTCAACTAGTTGAAATAAAAATGACCATGTTTCAGTCTGGTTCAGACACTATGGAAATATGACTTGTCAATATTGAAAACGTAACCGATACTTCGGGTTCGCACGGACGCTGCACAGCAACTGCCCACTGCAGTGGATCGGGACAGCAGTCGCATGGTACGACAATGGTACTGTGCCGTGAACGTTGTGTGGTCTTATTCGTTCTTTCAGCATAGTAAAAGAATGCGGAACGTATAACTTTTTAACGTATGTCCAAATCCATGTGTGAAAGGAGCATAAAGGTAACCGTAGTATCTAAACCAGACAATACAGACAAAATACCTATACTCGGAATTTTACAGTTGTGTAATGACGTCATTTTCGTGGGAAAAAACGTATGTCCTATTAAATTTATTTGTTGCTAAGTAACTGACTACTGGTGTCTAATTACCTGTATGACTTTTACTATACAGTGGTGTACATAATATTTTAGCATTTTTTGATAATAATTAAGTCAATTTCCACAAGAAATCTAAATAGGTCTTAATAAAAGAAGAAGTCCTAATTAACTGACTGACTGACTGAGATATCAACGCACAGCCTAAACGACTGAAGATATCGAAAATAAATTTTTAACATGTTAAAAAATGCGAATAGTTCATATTTTTTGCGAGCGAAACCGCGATGGATAAAATGTTAGTATTTCAAAAAAGGTCATTTACTCACTAATTATTTTAATAACTTGCTCAACTAACATATAAGTAATATTAACATATTTTTGTTTTTAAATAAATAAAGATTAACAAAACGAAAATCACAGAATATTATTTAGGAATCAATACTCCCGAAAAGACCCAAAAAATAATTAGTAGAGGAGTACATAAAAATTCAAAGAACCACTATCGAAACCACATCTACACAAGAAAAAATTGCACTACCTTGATGAATAGTTGGAAAATCAAAATCGTAAAACAAAAATATACCAATGCCAATTTATTGCGATTGTAATGGTCACAGTATTAGAAGAAAATTAGTCGCCCTCGTCCGTATCGTCAGAGTCAAAATCAAAGTATTCGTCGTCAGTAAGGTCGTCATCTGCGTCTGTAGTGATAACAAAAGGTGGGATGTCAGAAGCATCACAAACTTGTACTGCTCCCCAAGCCTCTTGTATTACTTTGTCCGTATGGTTTACGTATTTCTCCCAATTATCCCTAGAAATCTCCCCGATAACCCTTTCCCATGTTGCCAAAACCTCTTGTGGTGATCCCTTAAAATTTGCAATGTACTGATCGTATTTTCGTTTACACTGAGACCACACCATTTCAATCGCATTAAATTGGCAGTCGTATGGCGGTAACCGTAAAATTTTATGTCCTAAAGGCTTAACATATTCATCAAGCTAGTACTTTTTCTCTTTGGGGCAGTTTGCGCTGACAATGCTCCATATTTGATCCTTCATTGCCTTTTCTGGATAGCCGATATTTTTTTCCCCTAACCATTCTATCATTCTTTGTTTTGTCCATGATTTGGTGGGAATTTTCTGTAAAAGGCCAGAATGGTAGCTTGCGTTGTCCATAATAATTAAAGATTTTTCAGGAAGATTTGGCACCAGTTGAGTCTTGAACCAATTTTCAAAATTACCCCTGTTCATATTATCATGATAGTCCCCTGTTTTTTTTCCACTTTTAAAAATCAAACTTGCCCCACCAATAAAGCCATCGTTCGTCCCAGCGTGGACAATAATGTATCGATGACCTAAAGAATATCTCTTTTAATAATATTGAAAAGGTATTATAATATCTTATTTTACCTTCATTGGGTTTAATTGATTCCGTGTGCTTAGTATCATCTTGCCAGCTGTTTCGAAATGATCCCTTACTAAATATCCAGGTTTCATCCATAAAAACCGGAGTATAACCCTCATGTCCCAAATTTTTGTTTTCAATGTACTCCCTTAAGAATTTTATTCGTTTGTGGACAATATCCGGTAAATCCATAAGATATTTTCTGTTATTGGACTTCTTCCATTTAAAACCCATACTTTTGATCCACTTTCTCAATGAATCAATGGAAAATTGAAAATATTCGTTTTGCTCCAGAAATTTTTGTCTAATAGTTGCCAGTGTAACATATTCCTTTTGGGAGTACATATAATAGATTGTATCCCGAATTTTATTCTTCAAATATTCTGTGATTTTCGTCTTATTAATCTTTTGCTTGGTAGAGACATTAGATGCGTAATCTTTGTCGGATTTTACACCATTTTTTCTCAAATTTGAAATGGTTGTTGGGCTGACTTTCGTTGCTTGTGCAGTTCGCTGTATAACATTGTTGATGTCTTTAGTAGTGGTATGCCATTCCGAACTTGTTGCTGTTCAATTTGAAAGAAAGCCAACACATTTAGAATTATTAACTGTGTTTGTTCGTTAAATCGATGAGGGTTTTTTGGCGGCATGTTTTGACGCTTTGGCGTTTTCAAAACTTCAAAACTGACAATCACTTGACAAGCATTTCAGGTAAAATTTAGCCACGACAACAACATTTCGGCAAAATTGTTTGTCATTGTCATTTTACATTAGTTAAACAAGGATAGACAAAAATGACGTCATTACAAGACTGTAAAATTCCGAGTATACTATAATCATGTAGTTATGGTCGAAACGGTCGGAAAAATTTAAAACAAGGAAAGAGAGGGAAAAAATGTTAACCTCAATACTCGTAATTAGTATTTACTAACTAACCTGTTTCGTAAAATATTCTTGATACATTATACAATTGCCACGAACTTTCATCTACTGCTTCACGCTGTGACAGTGCCTTATCGAGTTTACTTTGATCCTTAAATGGCGGACAAAAAGCTTCTTTTTTCTTTGGTGTCAACCATAACGAAGGTATTGCGCAAACCGCTCCCCCATGATTAGCATCAAATTCAACAATTGCGTACATAATGTGAATGCACCTGGGATCAAATAACTATTAGTTCAAAAAATTCAATTTTTATAATACCTACTTAATTAATAGTTATTAAGGTATCAAGGGCGTTATGAACTAAATAACGCCCCAGGTCAACAGTGTAGAACCCGAGGGCCTCCGGCCCGAGGGTTATACGTTGACCGTGGGCGTTGTGTTCATAACGCCCGTGGTGCCTTCAACGTTTTATGTCATACTTGAAGATTTTCCAAGAATTAGCGGTGACAGATGATTAAAAGAGAAGATAATGAGAATCATCAAAATTAAGTTATCCATGGTCGTAACTATGGAGATAGATATTATATTTGTCAAACATTCTAAAAACTTTCTGAAAAATGGCAGACGAAGCGTCTCATTTACCAGGCACACGTTCTTGCGCGAGAAATCCTCTTATAAAAAAGAGTACGCTACTTTTGAAAAATGGATGGTGAGTAATTCTGTGGAGGCAATAAACGAAACCGTTATGTTGGGTTACTTCAAAGAGTTGGTATGTTTAAGTAATTTTATTAGTCATTAATCGGAAAGGTGATTTACAGTCAGAGTCATTTTCCCCCAATTCGCTTTGGACGAAATTTGCAATGCTACGTAAAGAGTTAATGGTAAAGAAGAAGTTTATAAGAGTTTCGAAAAATTTGTGCAGCTACAAGGGTATTTAAAACAAGTTCAGAAAAGCTATCGTCCAAAAAAATCAAAAATCCTTACTCGCGAACAGATAGTCGCCTTTCTTACAGAAGCACCTGATCCGCAGTATCTGATGTACAAAGAGGAAAGAAAATGTATGGGTCTGGGCCAAGCTGGTGCGGTGTTCTCTGGACAGTCCCAGAATTGTTCTTTTTACTTCAAAGAATAATGGATAATGCGACATCAACACAGTTCTTTTTACTTAGTTGTTGGAAATAAAAAGTTCGTATAGATTCATTATTCCATATTTATAGGATTTACATAACGCCCGTTGCTACGCATAATTGGGGTTGTCATGGTGGAGTGCATTATTTGTCATTTAATATATCTTGATTTAGGATTATTATACCTGAATAATGATCAAGTATGACATAAATAAAATAACACACGCCAAACTTTAACGATTAATAACTTGCTGCCATCTGCACTTACACACGCCGTGCTTGAACGTTGCACGAAGCTGTTGCAAAACGTAACACGGAGACGAACGATGAGCCAGCCTAGCTTCGAAACCGTAAATGGCGCGAATTTAAAGCAGTACCTATTTCAATATTTATTACTTTGGATAATGAAAGTCTAACCAAACGCGTTGATTTTATTATAATCACTTTATATTTACAAAATTGTTAACTTTAATGGCTAAAGATAAATACTGATGTACGTCAATTTGCGCCCGTCATAATGACAGTTTAAGAAAGACGTCATTTTGACCTACAGAAAGGAACGTATGACGTCTCAGACAATAAATAACTTTAAAATGTCGTCATAAAGACGAAGGGTGCTACCTGGGTATCTACTACTTTACAATATCCACTGTCCATCCCAGGTTTCAACCGGCCCGTTACTAGTAATTTATTTGTCTCTAGCTTTCTAACATATATTTCGAACTGCACTTTACTTGTTCTCTTCTTTACATTCGCCATTTATTCTTATTATGCGGCGCGATTGTTAAGAAACGTAGGTATAACACGAAACAGAATACAGATTAATGATTAATGCCTTGTTGCACCAACCACAATTTAACGGTGGATTAACATTAAACCTAGATTAACTAGCGATCTACGTTGCACGACTTTTTAAACTGCGTTTAATATTACTTAAACTTAGTTTATCTAAAACCGTCCTTGTGGGGAGTTTAAGCGAAGGTTTAGTAAAACCCGTTCCAATGCGCATGACGAATAATTATTTTTGTTTGTTTATTTGCAACATAACCCAATACCTAGACTTGCATTAAAATTTGAATATTCCAATTAACTACGTTTGTATAGGTAATGGATGATCAGTATGAGGATATATTTGATGATGATCTTCATATTTTGGAAGTTATAGAAGAAGGATTTCCAAGGCGTATTCATTTACGTAAAAATTATCTTGAAAAAATGAGCGACTTCACATTTTTTAGAAAGTTTCGGCTCTACAAGAATACAGTTTTAAATGTTCTAGAGCAAATAGAACCTGCGCTGGAGTATCCCAATGATGTGTATATAATGTAATACATAACAATATTACATTCCTGAATTAAATGTGTTACAGAAATAACAGTGTGTCGCCAATTAATCAATTGTTAATGGCGTTGCGCTTTTATGCCACTGGGGGACACTTGAACGTATTGGCAGACTTTGGAGGTATGGATACATCCACCATGTCAAGGATTATAGTGAGAGTTTCTGAAGCCCTGGCCAGACTTTATCCTCGACATGTCAAAATGCCCGAAGACGTTGTAGGTGAGCAAGTTCGATTTTATGACATTGCTCGATTTCCACGAGCGATAGGAGCGGTCGAAGGAACCCACATAAAAATAAAAAATCCAGGTTTGTGAACTGTATATATTCGAAAGTGCTAACTGCGAGGGGACGATGGAGAAATATTTAGAAACCGAAAAGGATATTTTTCCGTAAATACACAAGTAATTTGTGATGCCGACATGAAATTTTCAGACGTTGTTGCTAGGTGGCCAGGATCTGCCCACGACGCTACCATATTTATGAATAGTAGAATTTGTGCTCGACTAGAAAATGGGGAATTTGGCAATGGGTTCTTAATAGGTAGGTCAGTTAACAAAAACTGTCGTACTGTACTTTTTTCAATCAAAAATGGATATGTATAACTATATATTTTTAGGAGATAGTGGTTATGCATTACAATCTTTTTTTAATGACGCCTCTCGCTGATCCGGCCACCAGACCACAACAGTTATACAATGAATCGTTCATAAGAACTAGAAACATTGTTGAACGGACCATTGGGGTTTGGAAAAGTCGCTTTCCATGTTTAGCATATGGTATGCGTGTTAAAATAGAAACATGTTTAACTGTGATTACGGCAACTACAGTACTACACAATATCGCCAGATTAATGAAGGAGCCAATTCCCCCTATCATGAATGAAGACAGGTTAAATTATTTAATTGATCTTGGACAAATGGATAACCCTGGAATGCAACAAAATGCTGATGCTGGAGGTCAAATTATTCAAAATGATATAGTTAATAATTATTTTGGAAATCTGTAACATATATTTATTATGCGAATTAACTAATGCTAATAAACAAAAAGTATTGTAACTACTAACTAATAAGGGAAAATCAAACTTACTTCTAGACATAAATGAACACTGAAAGGCAACATTAAAGAACTACAAATTAACATTTAATTTTTGTTTTTCATTTTCAATTTGGATTTTAAGTAATTCAACTCTTAAAACATGTTCTATCTATTGATTCCATTTTGATTAAGTTTTGTAGTTGCTCTTTTTGAAGTTGAGCAATAGTAAGTCTCTCGTTTAGTAACTTGTCATATTTTTCTGACAATTCGGTTGTAGTCAAAGACTTCACCACTGTACGTGGTCTTCTTCTGGCATATGCTGGTGGTGGATTTGAACCGTCCTAAAACATACTGTTGCCGGAAAATACAAAACACCACAGAATAGTTTTACTTATTTTATTAACTTATCTCGATATCACAATTTCACCAGAACGCCTCGTCTGCCTCAATCGCCTTTCGCCACGGTACTGTTCGCCTCGCACCTTCACGCCGCCAGCCTCCCCTCTCTAAGGTCGCCTACGCGCCTAACACTCGACCATCCTGAAAAATTAATGTCCCCATTAATTACCACATCGCCAAACGCCTACGCCTAACTCTCCAAGAGATCCAATAGGTCTAACCTATCAATCTCCGCACCACTTTCATCACTAACATCATCATCACACTTGGCACTCACTCGTCTATCGCCCTCATTCGAACCACTCTCGTCTCTACCACGACAATTGCTACCCATGCATGGATACCGCCGTAATGAATCAACCGCCACTGTCGCCTGAAAGCGCTTATACCCCTTAACGCCCTTGATCGCCTCGATTAGGTACCTATCGTTGGGCATCACCTTGGCAATCCGATATGGCCCATCATATTTGTTCGCCAACTTATGGCTCACTTTGGCATCTACTCTACCAGTCGCTGAGCCTCGCCAAAGTACCAAGTCGCCTACCTTATACTCCGTTGCCTTCCTCCGCCGTTTGTCATAATGTGACTTCGCCTGAGCTGCTGCTCGTTTAAGGTTCGCCTTCGCATCACTTCGGTTCGCCCGTAACTGATCCCTTGATTTGGAAGTACTCGCTTCAGAGTCGTCACCCTGAGGCTTTCCCCCCTGGCCATGTGAGAAAGGTCTATGTTCGCCTGGGAGCCCTGCCTGGCTCAATGGGTTTCCGCCACTAGCTAGTGTTTCGCCACTGTTGGCCAAATCAGTTACTACGCCATTATGATGAGAAAACATCAGCTGAGCTGGGGTATATTTAGTCGCCGATGAAATGGTGTTATTGATGCCCCAGATAATCTCAGGTAGACGTTCATCCCATCTATTTTCTGCCTTCCTTTTGCAAACGCACATCGCCAGCACGCCTGCACATATTTCGTAATGAATTTGGTCATCTTTGAAAACCAATAGGTTTCTTTCACCAGCTTGAGACACCTCTCCACTCCAGGATGACCAATATCATCATGGTGCCGCCTCAGCAAAGGAAACCTTGCCATAGACGGCACATACAGCCGATCGCCCGCCAACGTGATCCTATAAAGTCTGCGACCTTTTATTTTATATTCCGCCTTCACGTTTCTTTCTGCCACGCCAGATTCCAAAGCCGCGACTATCCCTTCCGCCTTGGGATCCTGCAGCTGCATCAACAGAAACCAATCCTCCTCCGCCATGGTTACAATGTTAACGCCTATTGCCTCACCTGGCAACGCCTCGCCAACAGGATTCCTACTCAATGCATCTGCATGCTGCATCCTAACACCAGGACGATACTCCACCTCTAAGTCATACTCCTGAATTGTCAGCCACCACCGAGCAATTCGAGGCACCAAATCCCTTTTTAAAAGAGTCGCCCTTACCGCCACACAATCGGTCACTACCTTGAACCGAATGCCAATCAGAAAAACCCTGAAACGCCTGATGCCTTCGACCACCGCCAAGGTCTCCAGCTCATAACTGTGATACGCCTGCTCACTAGGAGTGGTAACTCTGCTAAAGTACTCCACCGGCCGCCACGCCTGATCGCCATTGGGCCTCTGCAAGAGTATAGCGCCAATGCCCAACTTACTAGCATCCGTATGAACCTCAGTATCCGCCTTACTGTCGTACAATGCCAGTACCGGTCTACACGCCAACGCATCTCTGAGCCGACTGAACGCCTCCTGCTGCTGGTTGCCCCAGCTCCGCGCTACATTTTTCTTAGTGAGGTCCGTTAAGGGCTTCGCCACACCCGAAAAGTCCTTTATAAACCGCCTAAAATAAGACGCCAATCCAACGAACTGCCTAACGCCATGCACATCCGTTGGCACCGGGAACGATTGCACCGCCTCTACCTTACGTCTTCCAGGTTGAACGCCACTAGCGCTGATTTCATGCCCTAGGTACTCCACCCTTTCCAGCAGGAAGGAACACTTGTCTAAGCGTAACTTCACGCCCGCCCTCGCCACTATCTCTAACACGCGATCGAGGGCGCCCAAACCTTCCTCAATAGTGGTTGTGGGTATCAAAAGGTCATCCATATACACCAACACCTCGCCATGTCGCATCTCGCCTAGCATGCTGTTCATGATACGCTGGAACACCGCCGGAGCATTCGCCAAACCAAACGGTACCCTTAAGTACTCGTAATGTCCGTCCGGTGTAATAAACGTCGTTTTGTCCACCGAGTCTGGATGCAAAGGCACCTGGTGATAACCCTGCGCCAAATCAAGGGTTGTATAGTACCTTTTGCCCGCCAGCTTATCCAACAGATCCGCTATGAGCGGTAAGGGATATCGCTCTTTCACCGTAACTGCATTTAGCGCCCGATAATCCACACACATGCGCACCTCGCCCGTTTTCTTTGGCACCAGCACTATAGGGCTCGCATATGCCGAGTTAGACTCCCTAATAATGCCAGCATCCAACATCTCCTGCACCTTTCGCCTCACCAACGCCCTTTCCGTATGTGCCAACCTATACGGCCGATAGTGTACCGGAACGTCAGTCGACAGTTTGATTTTCATCTCGCCCAGATGAGTCAGACCAACATCCAGGTCGCCCGCTGAAAAACAATCTCTCCTTGCTCGCAACACCTCAATCAATCTCGACTTCGCCCAGTCATCCACGCCACCAACATTCACGCCTGTTAGGTCATCCAAACATGCCGATGTCGCTATAACATTCACCTGTATACTTTCGTCCTCCAGGTACGTCTCTGCCCTCGCCACCAATCGTCCCTTTTCCCAACTCAGAAATGCGTCGCCACAGTTCCTAATCGGGATCAGGTCCGGTCTGTCCGCCGCGATGAAGGAACGACTCAAAACGTAACTGTATGCCGCCGTGCACACACGCCGCTCGTCGATCCTTACCTTGCCACCGGGAACGCCGCCCACAACCTCCACGACCGCCGCCGCAATAGATTATGGTGGACAGATCATACCTGCCGCCAATCGCACCTCGAACTTATCACTCCCACGCTCCGCCAGCGTGAGTCGCCCTAGGAACGCCGTAATATCGCCTTCGTTGCTTAGCAACGCCTTGCCATCCCGCACCACCATTGTAACACCTGGTACGTAGAGACTCGACTGACCCAAAAGAAGCTCGATATCGCCCACATCGACGTCCGCCACTAACGCCTTAACTTCCAGGTCAATCCCGTCCACTTCCGCCGTGAACCACGCCTCGCCCAGCGCCACAACTTGGCCACCGCCAAACCCGCTGAGCACGACGCCTGTGCCTTCCCGCCTTTTACCTAACCCTAAACGTCTCGCCGCCGCCAGGGTAAGGATAGAACGCTCGCTACCCGAGTCAATGTACGCCTTGACAGGGCAACCATTCACAAGCGCCTTCTTAGCGAACGTGTCTGTCGCCTTCAAAAGGAAACTCACCTTTTTCGACGCGCCGTCCACCCGTGGTCCTGTTCGCGTCGCCTCCTTCCGCCGGGGACAGTTCACCCACACATGGTTCGCCTCACCACATTGCCGACACCTCTCCTTCCGCTCCAAGGGGCAATCCCTACTCATGTGGGTGGTCATCTCTTGGCAGTTGAAGCACCTCACAAGCCTAGGTCCCGCCGGCGCCGTAGGCGGAGAGTGCTCCCGTTTCGTAGGCCTGGTCGCCGTACCAAGCCGCTGGCTCAGGGTCCTCGGGCCGGGTGCCTTTGCCGCTGGCGTTCCTTCCCGACAGGACTCCAAACCTGCCAACAAATCGTTATAGAGAGCCTCCGGGGAAGCACACTTCGCCGCGTATGCATTTGCCCGGTAGGTCTCCGGTAATCCGTGTATGATGCACGAGACTGCATTCTCGCCTGAGATGCCAGCTCGTACACATAGCGCCAACTTGTCACGGTAGTACTCGGTCATCGTTTCGCCTGACCGTTTACGCCGGTTCGCCAGTTCCTCGATGAGTTCGCCGAAATTAGTCCTCATCGGGAACGCCGCCTTCAGTCGGTCACACCATTCCGGCCACTCAAAATTAATATGGTCCAGGCGGTGGAACCAACGCTTCGCCGCGCCGTCCAACCTCGCCTGGCTCGCCAACACCTTTTGCTTTCCCGACCAGCCGTGCATCTCCGCCAACATGTCCAGTCGGGAGACCCATCTGCTGATGGACGCCTCCTTAGCATCAGGGTCAAACGGCTCTACTAGGTCCCACGCCTTCTTTGAGCTGAACTTCATCTCAGTGCCCGTTGTGGAACCACTCGCCTCGCTGGCCGCCGCCTGCGGTTTCGGTTGGGGAGCCAACGCCAAGTCCCCCAAGACCAAAGATGCCCGTCTTTCGAATGCCCTTAGCATCTGATCGGCAAAGCCTCCGCTCATCAGTTGGCGCGCCACTTCCTCTGCCAACCTGCTGCGTTCAACTGACTCCCGCGACTCCCCGGGAAGTTCGCCAGCTTCCAGAGACATCGCGTCATCGTCGGACATCGCCTGCCCCGCCGTAAACCTGTGGAATTAAATGGCGTTAAACGCCGCCCGATATAAATCGTTACTACGCCTATGTGCTAATAATTAATCACCAATAACGCCAAAACACCTAAAGAGTCGCCTATTGTCAACAAATTTATTTTCGCCTGTCAACAGTAAAGTGCATGCACGCCAATGTGTTTTGTTTTTCCCGGTCGTTGGAATGCGATTAAGTAACACGTGTGCGCGCCGCAACAAGTGCTCCTTTGTTCGCTTATGCTACAACATGCCACCTGCACTTTTATCGTTAAAAACGAATGCGTCCTTCGCTATTGACGTTCAATTCATGCATTAAACAATACGCCCAGAATAATGGAAAATGTACTCACACCTTTTCGCCCCTTGTTTTACCTGGTACTATTTCTAACCTCCCCAAAAACCACCAGCGCCGCCGCCCGCCTTAATTCGCCACCACCACGTTTTCGTCTGAATGGTAAGCCGCCTGCTGTGGGTCAGTCCCGCTTCTGATTTGTTGCCGGAAAATACAAAACACCACAGAATAGTTTTACTTATTTTATTAACTTATCTCGATATCACAATTTCACCAGAACGCCTCGTCTGCCTCAATCGCCTTTCGCCACGGTACTGTTCGCCTCCAGTGTTGCCAGTATTTCGATATCTCATGTCGCCATAACGCTTACATGAAGTAGCCCAAATCGCCTAATTTTATTTATTGCAGGTAGGAGTGTTAACAGAGAAATGAGCAACCAATCAGAAACTTATATTTTTAATTCAAACACATAATAAACTTAAATACTATTACCTACACATTTCTATAAGGTCAGATATTTCCTCGGAAATCTCATTTTCATCCTCATTTTCAGGTTTATATATGCTGTAATTAAATAGTTGTAACATATTTTCAGTAATTTTCATATTTTTACAGCAATACCAGCCCCAGCTTTTACAATTCATCCGTATAATTAAAATTGAATTTAAGGTTTCATAAGTCATTCTATTACGTGTCTTACACTTTATTAAATTCATTACTGAAAAGGCGCGTTCCACCGCTGCGTTACTCAATGGCAAACAAAGTAATTTTAATGCAAATTCTGACAGTTCTTTAAATAACAAATCTCCATTAGCATTTTTAACTGTAGCTACTTTACACCAAAAAATTTCGGGATCTTGTGGAATTTCTCCTTTATCGAAATAATCGCACCATGCGATGTTTAATAGATTGCGCCATTGATTCTCTAAATCGTCTACATTTATAGTACCTTTTAATTCTAAAGGAAAAATAATATTTAACGGAGGTCGTGTTTGACTTAAACAAATACTGGGGGACAAATTTTTTAACATTTGTAAAACTCTAAAATTTTCCGGCAGTTTTTCCAAGAACTTTTTAGCCAAAACTTTTAAAAAATTAAAACATTTTTGTTTGATTAATTCAGAATGCGAAGTCTCACATTTCTGTAGTTCTAAATGAAAATTATACCCATAATCTACCTCATTTAAATGTACGTATGCCAGTGGGTTCTCCATTGATTCTTTTAATTTTACAATTCTCTTATTAATGTTCGGTTCACTTTCAAACATGAATATAGGCTTTAATATTCGGCGCAAGATGTTCAGCACTAACATCAACAAAGGTTCGCAAACTTTAAAAAAATCGGCATTTTGGTGCTGAAATAACAAATTTGTTATATACACTTCTTTAAGTATTGGTTTTAGAAACATTAAATATATGTACGTAATTAGAATGGTCCTTATACATAGATTCTAGCTGACGTGCAGCATAACATTTTTCCCTATTGTTAGCGGTCGTAAAATGGGTTTTTAATTCAAGCCATTGTTCCAATATTGCCTCGATCGCATTATACCGGGAAAGCCAACGAGTGGGAGCGATTGAAACCAATTTACGCTGACGACGATTTTCTTCTCCCGCGTTTAGTAAATTATATATTTCTTTATAGTCATTTTGTCTTACTACACTAAGATTAAACCAATTGTACGTTTCGCGCACAAGAAACTCCACATTGGCAGGTAATTCGTCGCAGGATTTTTGGGCACATAAATGCAAAGAGTGGCAGATGCATTTTATGAGTTGCAAGTTCGGCACTTCTTTTTTTAGTAAGGTATATAATGAGTTATGTTTACCGCAGAGATTATTTGCCCCATCGGTACCAATCCCAATTAATTTTGAAATTTCTAAATTATTGTTTTTTATAAACGAAATTACTGCCTCATACAAATCCTCGGCCCTGCAAGTGATCATTGAAATAATGCCCAAATATTCCGTTGTGATCGATTGTTTTACCGCACTGTAATATCGCACACAAACGCATAAATATTTGTTCACTGAAATGTCGGTCGATTCGTCAAGAATCAATGAATAATGTGCGTTAGAGTTGTTAATATCATCAATTATGTCTTTTATTATTGATGGAGCCAATACTTTCCGAATCACTTGCGTGCACTTTGTCCTATGCATACGTAGATCACTAAAACTGCTTTTCCCGATGTCTTTTAATAGATCACATAGGTGATCCATTGTATTAAGGGTGCTATGAACTGCAACGAAAGTTGCCAATTTTAGATCGCGCACTTTCTGGTCGTTGGAAAAAGAGGATTCGGCTACAATTCCAAATCTTGCTAATTGAGATGTAGATGGTACATTAGAAGCTTTTCGAATATGTTGCTGCGTTTTCGAGTGCTTGATCAGATCCGTTTTGTGGGGCCTCAGCTCAACGTTACAATATTTGCATTTAGCGATATCCGAATCCACTTGTTGTAGCCAACCTGTTAACTATAAATATGCCTATGAATTACCAATCATGTACCATACTGTATCCACAAACCTTTAAAGACCGGAATGCTTTCCCATTCTTTTCTGTAAGTTTTTTTGTATTTTCCGTACTTTCCCATTTTTAAGGTAACAAATAACGATTTTTAAGTAGGTACACCTCGAGGTAGTGTAAAGTAAAAAGAAGCTGAGAACTGAAGCTGAAGACTGAACACTGAAGAAGAGTGAAGACCGAACAGACTGAATGAAAATGAACTAATGATGAATTGATGAATATAATATAATATATACAGACACGAGAAGTGCCGCATTCGCAAATCGCATTAGTAAAATTCAAAATAAAATTTATGACTACCTAGACGCCGAAGTGCTAACAATAAACAATAGGATGCGAACAGAACGAGGGCTTTGTTTTGGGATTATCTTTATGACCCTAACCGCTAAAGTGTACAAGTCACGTTTCTGCAAATTCAGGAGATTATATTTCCTTCATGAATCATTGTTATCTTAATACAACTAAGTATACCCGTTCTGTGTTGACCTTTTTGTGGGTAGCGGCAGTTCGTCACCTGCGGCATTCTTTAAACTTAAGTAGGTAAACCAGAAAATTTCTCACTGGCGTATCTACTAAAAAAACATTCCCTGCAATTTATTTAACGGTCATACTTTAAGCTTTGATAATGTAGCCCAAAATGTCGCCTATCGCAACGCTTACATTTTGGTCGCAAAATAAGATTTACAAATCGCCCATTTTGCGATATATCGCCCATACTGGCAACACTGTTCGCCTCGCACCTTCACGCCGCCAGCCTCCCCTCTCTAAGGTCGCCTACGCGCCCCTAACAATACATTGACAATTACAGGTAAAGCACATCAAACATCGTTACCTTTACATCAGAGGGGTCTGCTCGTAAAACGTTGTTGGTTTTTGATGCTAAGTTGCCCACTTTATATCTTTTCCACGGTACTTCTTGGGTCGGATCCGTTACCTGTTGAATAACTCACATGGATTATAAATATTTAATCTAAAATAAACTTATCTTACAGTTTTTCCACACGGCACTTTTTCTGCCAGTGGAGCTGCTACATCAGTTTCTTGTTCTATGCATAATTCTTCCGTATTCGTTACATCATACAAGTCACTTCCATAAATTATTTCGATGTCATCAGTTGTCGATTGTGGATAATCAGGTGTTACAGGTTTTAATTCGATAGAATTGATAGCATCACCATCAAATGGATTCCTCAAGCCATTTATTTGCCTTATCGCACACTATCGATAATAGGAGATCGTCAGTTTTATCTGTTGGTTTATCGTCTGCTGATATTCCACCGCCCGTTCTATATAGTTCTCTTCTATGAGTAGCAACTGACTTTCTTAATAATTTCTTTTTATTGTCGTAGCATCTTTTCAAACTGTCTACATCCCTTGGGTATGTTGGTCCAGAACTGTTGAATTCTTGAGCAATGATATTCCACACCTTATTTTTTCTCCTACAGTAACGGCATCCGTTTTTTCATTTTCAATCACGTTTTTATGTTTTGCAATAATATTTATCAATAATGATTTCTCATTATTAGTAAAATTTGCAGATCTTTTTTTTTTGGAAGATTCCATAATGACTACAATGAAATAAAGCTTAACAATGACAAATCAAACCTTATGTGACTATTGGAGAAGGCAAGCTTATCATAAATAAAACCACCTAATTAATAATATTATGTAGTATTTATTGGTTATTGCACAAAACAAACACATAACACGTTTGAAAAGCAATAGTGCATGTTGTGTAGATAGCCGCATTAGAAAATCCCTAGATTTTGGCGGTTTACTTAACAGGCGCTTAATTTCGGGTTGTGCAACGCACACGGACATGATCTTCGATTAACTATTAATCTAAGTTTTAATAAACCTTCGTTAACAAAAGGTTTGGTGCAACAAGCCATAAATAGTTCAGTTTGTAAGTTTAAGTCCGTAACGCTTTCTACAATCCTACATCTTAACTTCATACTAATTAATAGAACTACGATGGGTATCGTGGAACAAAAAAAAACTAACTTCAGATCATTTAACATTCAAGGATTGATTATATTTCAATATTGATTATCACGTTAACCAGACTAAGGAAATTAACCAATATTGTTAACTCCATTGATTATATTGGCTTTAGTAAACAATATTGTTTGTTAAGCAATGGTCACCAGACTTAAGCTGATTGGAGTAGCAGAGTTTGCAATTAGCCTCAGTGAAACGTTAACTGTTTATCAATAAAGATACAAAACTTGTGTAACTGTCAATCTATATTCATCAGTCCTATTCTCGTGTATGTATCTTGAAAACTTTTCAATATTGAAACCTTTTCAAGAAACTTTTCAAGTGACTTTTACAATATTGAAAATTATTTGTATTCTCGTGCTCACCTTGTAATAGTATGTTTACGTTTTCCAAGATTGAAAAGTTAACAACCATGAAGTTGTAACACAGTGTAGCCAACCCACAAATGTGAATAATGTGCGCGTGCGTAAGTACAATTAATCAGCTGTTTGGTATAAATACAAGTTGATTTAAGACGTGGTGTTACGTGTAGTTGACAATCGGCCTAAGTCTGGTGGCAATTGATTAGCAAACAATATTGTTTACTAAGTAATGTATAATCAATAAAGTTAACAATATTGATTAATTTTGGCAGTCTAGTTGTCGTATTGTAATAGTAATCTCAATATTGAAATCGAATTGAATATTGTTTTGTGATTGGTGTGAAGTTAGCTTTTTTTAGTTCAAATGCCACATTTGTAGTTCCAGTATAAACATAAATTGCAATGATTTTCTTTTGTATCTAATTTGTTCACATAAAGTTAAACTTGGTACTTGACTTTTCTTTTGCTTTTCCCGAAGTTGCATCCAATAAATATTAAAATGGCAGGAAAGAAGCGAACAAGTAAAGAGCAATTTGATATTTATGTGCGGAATTTAGAGAAAAACCGGCTATTGGTTACTGGCAGGTTGACACCAGGTATGAATATAGAAACCTTGCAACAACTTTGGAGCTCCTTAGCAGAGGAATTAAATTCATGTGGCAGTGGTCCAATACGAAAGGTGGAGAGTTGGAAAAAGGTTATTTTACCTAATTTACATATAGGTATACATAAGATATTCATTATTGCAACTGTAGATTTTTACGGAGTGGAAGTCTCTTGTGAAAAAAAGAGCCCGAGAAGGGAAATTGTTAACTGAACTAGAAAAACGATACTTGGAAGCAACAGGTGTTGTGTCCGTAACAGGTATGACCTCGGCGAAAGAGCTAGGTATTGCTTCTATTGAAGAAAAGGAATCGCAAATCACTAATGAGGATAATGTGGAGATAGCCATTCCAGATCATCAGGTATTTATACACAAATGTAGTACAATTTTATTTTTCAAATACTTGTAGGCATGTAATATTGAAATTGAATTACATGATGATATTGAAGTTGTACCTGATGAACCCCATCCTATTCCTTTGGCAGAAGAAAAAATTAAAAAACCTGCTAAGATTTCAAAGAGTAAGTAAATAAATATTTTGTAATTTGATAATACAATGTTACTTTTTGAAGGGACTACTAGCAATCCTTTACTGAGTGCTGAGCTCCAAGCCGCAATAACTAGAGTACTATCTATTATGTACAATAAAATGTTTGTTTAAATACCTAGATACATTTTTTTTACTTAAATATGTACTATTCAAAATAATCTCGAACAATTCTATTACGAACCAATCTTCCTTCCCGTAAATTATTAACATCATTGTCACGATTACCACAAGGTTCATTATTGTTTTCCTCTTCATCATCTGCATAAATAATGATCAAACATTTACTTCACTTAGTCAAAATTAGTTACTTACTATCATTGACATTGATTTCCACGTCATTCTCACCATTACGTATGCACATTATGGAGTATAGCACAAGCATATATAACTTTTGCACACTTCGGTGGATTATAACAGCGAAAACGTGTTTTTAAGACGCCATTTAATCGTTCAATGACATTCCTAACAGTTTTATGTGCTGAGTTATATCGCCTCTCTGCTTCTGTGAGGTTTTGACCAGAGATAGGAGTCATTAACCATGGTTCTAAGGGATAACCAGCATCGCCCAACGAAATGATTGTATTTTAAATTAAGACATTCTCACTCACATTCTCACCTATCAACCATGAGGAAGTGTCTCCATTTTGATAAGCATTACGCAAAACCTGCTTAATATCACTTGTCGTCCAAATACCAGAGTCGTGCACGGATCCTGGATATCGTGCATTGATTGCCAGGATCTTTAAATGTGCATTACAAATCTGAAAGTGGCTATAAAAAATTGAGATAGGTAGCCTAAAATTTCTTACAATCTGTACGTTAATACTATAGTATCCCTTCCTATTCAAAAATGCTATTGCCGGGTACTGGGGATCTTCCACTGGAGGAGATATTATAGATATATGGGTGCAGTCAATAGCACCTATGATACCTGGAAAGCCGTGTGGCATTGTCATAAAGCTAAAATCAAATTAGGTACACTTAACTACCTACTATACAGAGCATGTTCTAAAGGTGACTACTTACAGTTGTTTTTCTTCAGTTTTTTCGGCTATCGTTGAAGGAAAATGCACTAAGTGAGAAAAATGTTCAAGTAGAGCACTCACCACTTCCTCTACACATCTGCTCACTGACTTTTGACTCATTGGGCAGAAAAAGTCCTGTCCAACGGCCTTTTGATAAGACCCTTGAGCCAAAAAGTGTAAAGTAGTCAAAATCTAAAACGTATTTATAGGAGGTACTGCTTAGGTAAATAAAATTAGTTAATTTTACCCTTAAATGTTTAGGAATGCCCAAAACTCTTTCATTATCCCGAAGAAAAGGTGACAAGTTTAACATCAAATCTTGAGTCAGCTGCCGAGACAGTCTATAGATTCCTTTGAAGGTTTCTTCGGTCAGTGAAAATGGATCACTAGCATCACGAAGTTCTCTTCGGTTGAAGTTCATTCTAACCCTAAATTATACAATTCTCAAGTGTAAGTAATAGTAATAAAACATAATAATTCATAATCTACCTTTCTTCATTGTTGATAGCATTAACAATTAATATAAAATCTGCCATTGTTAACGAAATTCCTCACACTTAAAAAGTTTAAAATTTACCAACACAATAATCAACATTGTTTATTTGACAACAAGTGTAAAAGGAACTTGTTATGAAAATCTGTTAACTTTCAATTATTGAAGTAATAATTGAATCAGGATTGGCCACCAGACTACCAAATGGTTGCAAAATTGTTTAAGAAACAATAATTGCTTAGTAAACAAGATTGTTTGCTAATCAATTGCCACCAGACTTAGGCCGAATGTCTTTAAAAAAAGCAAGGACATCGAAATCGCGATATACTATTTATGTAGAGTACTTAGAAAAAAATTGTTTGTTAAGAACTGGAAAACTTTCTCCTAACTTGGGCCCAGAGGACTGCTGTGAAGATTGCTACCGCGGCCGTAACTAACTGCGTGACCTTGACCGAATTTTGTTTAATTTGTAGGCGGCGTTGCCACGTTTAACGTAGCGTAATTTAACTTCTAATCAAGATTGTAGGATTCTACAGCATTAAAACAATAAAATCAAGTGACTATATTGTAACCACTAGCCATATGAGAATGTAATAATAACGAATAAGTGACAACTATTATAAACATTTGAATAAAAAGTACCTATGATAATGCACCTATCCTGGCGCCTTGAAATTTTTACCATCTTTCTCTTATTATAAGACATGAAAAACAGCAAAGACATTTGAGGCCACTCTTCGAATTTTCGGGAAAAAAATTATTCACCCCGTAGCTAACGATCGCCCTGTAGAGTTACGCGCCTATCCTGGCGCCTTGAAATTTTTACCAGATCTTCCTCTTATTATAAGACATGAAAAACCGCAAAGACATTTGAGGCCACTCTTCGAATTTTCGGGAAAAAAATTATTTACCCCGTAGCTAACGATCGCCCTGTAGAGTTACGCGCCTATCCTGGCGCATTGAAATTTTTACCAGATCTTCCTCTTATTATAAGACATGAAAAACAGCAAAGACATTTGGACCACTCTTCGAATTTTCGGGAAAAAAATTATTCACCCCGTAGCTAACGATCGCCCTGTAGAGTTCCGCGCCTATCCTGGGGCCTTGAAATTTTTACCAGATCTTCCTCGTATTATAAGACATGAAAAACCGCAAAGACATTTGGGGCCACTCTTCGAATTTTCGGGAAAAAAATTATTTACCCCGTAGCTAACGATCGCCCTGTAGAGTTACGCGCCTATCCTGGCGATCCTGGGGCCTTGAAATTTTTACCAGATCTTCCTCGTATTATAAGACATGAAAAACCGCAAAGACATTTGGGGCCACTCTTCGAATTTTCGGGAAAAAAATTATTTACCCCGTAGCTAACGATCGCCCTGTAGAGTTACGCGCCTATCCTGGCGCCTTGAAATTTTTACCAGATCTTCCTCTTATTATAAGACATGAAAAACCGCAAAGACATTTGGGACCACTCTTCGAATTTTCGGGAAAAAAATTATTTACCCCGTAGCTAACGATCGCCCTGTAGAGTTACGCGCCTATCCTGGCGCATTGAAATTTTTACCAGATCTTCCTCTTATTATAAGACATGAAAAACAGCAAAGACATTTGGGACCACTCTTCGAATTTTCGGGAAAAAAATTATTCACCCCGTAGCTAACGATCGCCCTGTAGAGTTCCGCGCCTATCCTGGGGCCTTGAAATTTTTACCAGATCTTCCTCGTATTATAAGACATGAAAAACCGCAAAGACATTTGGGGCCACTCTTCGAATTTTCGGGAAAAAAATTATTTACCCCGTAGCTAACGATCGCCCTGTAGAGTTACGCGCCTATCCTGGCGCCTTGAAATTTTTACCAGATCTTCCTCTTATTATAAGACATGAAAAACCGCAAAGGCATTTGGGGCCACTCTTTGAATTTTCGGGAAAAAAATTATTTACCCCGTAGTTAACGATCGCCCTGTCGAGTTACGCGCCTATCCTGGGGCCTTGAAATTTTTACCAGATCTTCCTCTTATCATAAGACATGAAAAACCGCAAGGACATTTGGGGCCACTCTTCGAATTTTGTAAATATATGATTATGGAAAAAAGGCGGCATGTGGCGCATCCACCACATATAGGGCCAATTGTTCATACTGAGTTCAACAGCAGTTCAGTTGAACTTAGGGTTGCCAGATAATAATTTGATAAAGGAGGGCATATGAGTCTAAAAAGGAGGATTTTCTGTAAAAAAGGAGGACATTCAGAAATTAAACGAATTTTTTAGAATATTTTACTTTATTTTAATCATATGTAGCAGAGCTGCCAATTTTGGAAAGAAGTTCTTGGTTTTTTAACAAATAATTGTAAACATCTTCACATGTCATGTTTTTGAAGTTGTATTGAGTAAGAATTAAAGATTTAACTGATTGCACACTTAGTCTATTCCTCTCTTTGCTCCACTGAGTATTAATTAGGGAAAAAACTCGTTCCACATTTGCATTATGTGCGCTTACACAAAAATAAAACTCGCAGATCTTGAGCAGTTCTGAGAAACATTCTATGTTTTTAACACTTTTGAAGTAGATTGTCCACTGCTCTTGCAACTTCAAATCATAATATGCTTCATCTTCATTTGATTTTGATTTAAGAAATGAAATCAAGTTACAAAATTGATCGTGTAGCTTAACATCGTTCCCTTTTTCGCGTCACTCCAGTAGTCCAGTCCGGCCCGACGTTTAGCAAAAAAGGAGGACTTAGAGTAGGTAAGGGAGGACGGGAGGACAAAGCATGGAAAAGGAGGACATGTCCTCCTTTTGGATACCATCTGGCAACCCTAGTTGAACTCGGCTAGTTGTGAGGGTAACAACAATCGTTTCTTACAAAAGGGTGCCCGTTTTTCGGGCTCCAACATGGGGATCTCTGTTATTTGAGGAGATACAACGTAGTTTAAATTGGGGCAAATTTGCGTATTTTAGTGCCTAATAATATGCCATTCCGAAAATTAGGATGTCATCAGAGGCTACCGAAAGTTCCTTTTATTTTAAAAATAACAAAAAGTAGACGTTTTAAACTAAAGCCCGTTTTAGACGATCATATTTCTTTGTGTAGTTATACATGTATCTGTTGACATAGGAGATTTTCACGTGTAAAACAAGACGATGATGTGTATTTTTACACGTAAAATTCTACACGCAAAATAGAGTCTGTTCTAATTTCCAAGGTCATTTACATGTAATTTTTGGTTTGATATAGGGACTTCCATGCACGCTCAGTTTAAAAATAGTAATAAAGTTGGTATTAGTCAATTTTCATGTGTTATATCTATGTTCGCGTTTGTTATTTGGAAAACGTTTTGTTGCCGTTGCCGATTTTTAACAATATTTTTGTAATTCTGTGCACAAAACACGTAGATTCTGTGCAAACATGTGGTCTAATGAAGTAGTCAAACGGTTAATATCACTATATGAACAGCACCCTTGTTTATACCAGGTGACTGATACTAATTACAAAAATAAGGGGAAACGAAGAAGTGCACTTACTGCAATTTGTAATAATTTAAATGAAAATGGAAATTCTTTTGATGTTGATACTGTTTTAAAAAAAATAAATGGACTACGAACTACTTTTAACGTAGAAATGAAAAAAATAAAGAAGTCAAAACAGTCTGGTGCCGGGGCAGATGATGTGTACGAGTCGTCTTGGTGGTGTTTTGACTTGCTGCAGTTTTTGTTAAATTCGGCCCCAACAACTGCAGGGTGCTCAAACTTGTCTTTTCCAGATACATTAAGTGAGGTAGGTACCGACTTCGTACTGAACCCCAGAAATCATTAATGTAGAATTTACGATTATAGGAAGAAATTCCAGACAGTGAGACTGAAGTAGTGTTTGAAGGGTCAATAGACGAATTTAATGGAAGCGAATACAGCTACTACAATTTACAACCCTCAAGTACTCCACCTTCCTCATCTGTACCTAATGAAGGGCGGAATAAGGCTGTAATGGTAACATGTAGCACTATCTTTTTCTATTGTGAATTATAAGCACTTATTTCCAGGCGAATCCCACAAGTCGAAAGAGAAAAGTTGATACGGAGAGTGATTTTTTTAAGGAATCAACGGCAGTGTTGAAACAATTGGTTTCCAAAAACAAGGCCGAAGATCACATTTCAAATTTTGCTCGTTTCATAGAAACTGAACTAAGGGAGATACAAAATAAAAGATCCTTAGTAAAATTAAAAATGGAAATTTCGCAATTAATTTTTAATGCTCAAGAGAAGGGACAGAATTAAATTTGTACTACTTATATAATATGTATTATGAAAAGCACAGTTTCATTTATAAATGTATTGTTTACTTACAAAACTTATATTTTAAGTAAACCTTAATGTTATCATAGTGTAAGTATATGAGTTATAACATAGCTTCTTGCCATTCAACTGCACCTGGCCCATTAAAATAGTTTAAAAATTCCCCACGTATGGAGGTAGCACGAACAGAGAAATGGTTTCCACTTTGTTGACCTAGTGGTTGCTGGGTTCTTGGGAGCTTATTACAGTCATTGCTAATAGGTGACCCAGATTCAGCAATTAAAAAATTGTGTAATGTGCAAGCAGTTAATGTTAATATTTTTACTTTTTCTGCGTCCAAATTTATAGTAGTTAAAAACAAACGAAAACGATTGGCTAAAATGCCGAAAGCATTCTCAACTACTCTTCTGCCTCGACTGATCCTATAGTTAAAAATAGCTTGGTCATGAGTTAGGCCTCGGAATGGGTAAGGTTTCATAATGTACGATTTTAATGGGAAAGCAGCATCGGCTAGTATCACATATGGCACTGGTCTTGTACATCCAGGTAATGGTTTGTCAGGTGGAATATGTAAAGTGTTATTGTTTAGATGTTTGTACAAATTACTCTGGGCAAATACTCCACCATCGCTTATGCGACCGTTAACTCCAACATCAATGTAAACAAAACGATACTTCGCATCAACTAGTGCTAATAGTACAATGCTGTTGAAGCCTTTGTAATTGTAGTACATCGATCCCGCACTTCTTGGAGCTCGAAAAGCTACGTGTTTTCCATCTAGTGCCCCTATGACATTTGGTACTTGCCAATCATTTAAAAAATCATTTTCTATGGTTTCCCAATTCTGTGTTTCTTGTGGAACCTGCAGATAGAATTTAGTAACGTGAAGTAAAAGTGTTGTATCACTTACCCTAAGATACTCGTCTTTCAGTACGCTATAGATGCATTTACAAACTTCAGGGATGAACAATGATATTGTTGATTCGTGTATTCTTGTTGAATACATTAAGTTTCTGTACGACTCGCCGGTAGCCAGAAAACGGAGTGTAGTCATTAACTTATCTCGGGCGGAAATGCTTTGTCTCATATTTGTATTAATTTTTGCTATGTGAGGTTCTACTCTTTGTAACAACTTAAAAAAACTTTCTTTCGACATTCGAATGTAATTTTTAAATTTTTCAGGATCTTCAACCCTTAATTCATTGTTCACCATTTGCATGATACCACGTTCATCTCTCTTATCTACCCATTGTTTTACCCAACAATTTCTACATTTTTTCCTTTTTGCTTTTAACTTAGCCGCTGCCATGCCATTTAAAACAGTTATGGCAAAAATAGCTAAATTTGGATCCATTTCGTATATCAAGATGCTTTTGTGTTTGTGTTCTTCAAAAATCAAAATATTGCCAGTGTATGAAAAGGTATTGCCAAACTTGAACTTGGAGAACTAAACGGTGTTTCCAACATTGTAATATAAAAAGTACCATATTTTAGATGAAAAATTACATGATAAATTTTCTCATGTAAAACTGCGTTGTTTACATGTATCCGTTCATGAAAAAATACATGTAAAATTAGGTGTAGAAATTTGACCATGTAAAATGCGCTTAAAACATTATTCAAGCATTTTTTTATGAGGAATCCAAATATGTTATCAAAATAGTCAAAGCGCGCTAGACTTACACTAGATAACTCTTTGAGTTCTAATGGCAGCCATATTAGATTTTTGCATTTCACAATAATCAGTGTTATTCTTGTGGCTCTTGAAAACTTTTCAATATTGAAATGTATCCAAGAATCTTTTCAAGTAATGTTTACAATATTGAAACATTTTGGTATTCTAGTGTCTACATTGTTATATTTTTTTCCTGTTTACAACATTGAAAATTTGTTTGATGTGAAGTTGCAAACGCAGTAATACCAACGTTGAAATTTATGTCCGCACACACAAGAGCCAATTAAAATTTTCTAATAATCTTGTTGGGTTAGGTGCTTAGAACGTTAAGGTTAGGTACTGTTCCTTCGTTACTGGTACGTTAAATGAATTGATTTCAAGTTGGTTTAGTAGAAGAAATGTCGGTAATACGAAAAGCAAGAACTTCTAAAAAACAATATGTCATTTATGTGGAGTACCTGGAAGAACATCCGATTTTACGAAGTGGAAAGCTTTCCCCGCGAACCACTCCTGAAGATCTTCATAATTTATGGGTTCAGTTAGTGAATGCTTTGAATGCATGTGGAGATGGTCCCACACGCGATGTCGATGCATGGAAAAAGGTTTGTCCTAATTTGATTGTCTTTATATATTCATAATTAAATTGCTTCAAAGGTTTTTACGGAATGGAAGAGCCAAACGAGGAAGAAGGCCAGAGAAGGAAAGGTTCTCAATGTCCTTGAAGAACGTCTTTTAAAAGTAACAGGGGTTATTGTTGTCGATGGTGCGCCAGGTGTACCAGAATTGGGAGTTCCCGATGAGGTACAGCAAGTGATGCATACCGTTCAAGATTTGGAAATTGAATATGTAAGTAAACAATGTGTACACAATCATTTTGTGGCACACAATTATTGTAGAACGGTTATAATCTGCTCTTCGATTAATAATTTTGTAATTTGTCGTAGTTAGATGACCAGCATATCGAACCTACAATTGGTTCTGAAGCTCCAAATATTGAAGTGGCATCATTAGTCGAAAGTGAAAACAAAGCTAAGGACAACCAAAAGAAGATTTGCAGAAAGAAAAGTATGATTATCGTTAGTAACACTTAATAAAAAAAATAATTTGTTTTTTTAAACAGAAAAAGGCAGTAGCGCACTGTTGGAAGCATATGAAGCGGACCAGAGATTACAAAGGGAAGGTTTAGCAAATATAGCTACCTCTTTGCAATCAATTGCTGATGGTATTAACCGTTTATGTAATATATTAGATAAGTAATATACCTAATTGAACATTATGCTTATGCTGACTGTATTAATAATAGAGATGTATAAACACGCTCATGGCAATTTAATTTTATTCTTTTGTTTAATAGTAAAAAAACGTTCCATCAAAACTACACAGGAGCAGTACGAATTGTATGTAACATATTTAACTAAATATCGGTCACAGCAAACAATACCAGATGACGAATTTTCTCATTTGTGCCAACTTTTAAATGAATGCAAGGGAGCAGTAAAAAATAAAGAAGATTGGAAACAAATATTACTTAGGTATCATGTAAAATTATTTTTGAAACACATTTATTGTAGACATTTATGGAATGGCATTCAAAAGTGAAACGAAAGGCAAGGGAAATATATGTTGATCAACATTTAACTGGTGGCGGTTTGCCAATTAATGCAATATTGACCGATTTGGAGAAAAAATTGCTGCATGTTCTTGCAATTATTACAGTATGTGGTATGAATGTTCCAGAACTTGGACTTGTTAAACCACAACCAATTACCACTATACAAAGGGTAAAATTACCTACTGTTGTGGTAGGAAAAACATTGAAAGCAAATATTCATCGTATAAGTATGTTAACAAACGGAAGGTCACATGAATAACGTCTTCTTGTAGGATCCCTGAAAGGACACAAAAAGACGCTAGAATTCTACTTAAAATCAAATTCTAAAGAACTTATTTTAAAAGTATACAGATCTCTACAAAACGTGACAAATGCATTATCCCGATTATTAGATATCCTTATAAAATTAAAAGAATAAAGTTGGACAAAGCTATTTGGTTGTGTAATAAAAATTCTAAAAAGGATCTTCCTTATTACAATCTAATTCATAAAATGTGTTCGAATAATTCGATTACGTACAGCTCTGCCTTGATGTAATAAGTTATTATTCATGTGGTGTTCGTCATCATTATCAATGAGATAGGGATTCTCTTCAACTAAAACATAAGCATTATTGATTTGAACAATGAATGAAATGAATTTACTTTGCTCATCAAGATATGGTTCTCCTTCTCGTTCAATACATAAGTTGTGCAAAACAGCACAACTGTTAATAATTTTCGCTGCATTAACAGGGCTATAATGTAATATCCTATGTCGGTTTAAACATCTAAATCGTCCCTTGAAAACTCCATTTAAACGCTCAATCACATTCCGTACACTTCTGTGCGCGTTGTTATAGCGGCGTTCTGCCTCATTTAAATTTGGTGCAAGCAGTGGTGTCATTAACCATGGCTCTAATGGATACCCAGAATCACCTATAATAATCCGGTACTATTTTAGGAATGATTAACAAACTTTTTACCAAGTAACCAACAACTGTTTCCCTCTTCATGTTTCACCATGAGTTCTCTCCGTATTGCACTTGTCGCCCAGATTCCTGAATCATGTACTGAGCCGGGAAATCTAGCATTAATCGCCAATATTTTAAGATTAGAATTGCATATCTATAAATTATAATTTATTATTACACATTTGTTAATTATTTGCATTTCATCTTACAATTTGTACATTTATACTTATAATAGCCTTTTCGGTTAAGAAAAACGATAGCAGGAAATTGTACATCATCCACTGGAGGGGCAATAATCCCTACATGAGTGCAATCTATTGCGCCAATTATACCGGGAAACCCATTTGGCATTCTCATAAATCTAAAATTTAGCTCAGAATGATTTTTTTGGACAAAAAATCTGTTTTAAATACCCCTGCTTTTCTCGCTCGTATTCTTCGTTTGTTGTTGGGAATTTTATTAAATGGTAAAAATGTGTTATCGCTTCATTCACCTCCTTAATACATCTACTGACTGAGGGTTGGCTCATTGCTGCTAAATAATCTTGCCCTACTGCTTTCTGATAGCTACCGTTAGCATAGAATTGAATCGCAGCAAGAATCTAACAAACAATTCATTAATAACTAGTGCTATAGGAAACTATTTTGTTACCTTTAAATTTTTAGGAATAAATAATTCATTTCGTCTAGGCTCACGTAGAAAAGGTGCAAGATCAAGAATAAAACTATGTGCCAGTTGCCTAGATAACCGATAAATTCTTTTAAAACTATTTTCAGAAAGGGACATTGGATCACTCATATCACGTAAATGCCGCTTATACAGACGGTCTTGAACCCTTCAATAGAAATAGATTTAGTAGTATACAATAATTATTTAGTTTATATTACCTACATTTGTTCTCCATTTTCCAACTCGTTTATTAACAAAATTGCGCCGTTATTCATTTTAGGTAAAATTTATAACCTACAAGATAGGGGTACTCTAGTGCAAGAATATCTCTTGAAATAAACTAAGCAATGATTAAAATTGTCTTGCTATACTTTTCAATCTTGAAATTGATATGTTGAAAGTTTTTCAATAGTAGAAGTGTACAAGAATACCAATAAGATACAAACATTGAAATATTTACAATTCTTGTAAAGTTTTCAATATCTTAACAATTTCAAGGTGCCATCAGAATAACACTGTAGTCTCATAATAGGATATGTTTCAACTTTAAGACACCGTTCAAGTATGGAAAAATCGTTTTTGCGAAAAATACTGTAGTTTGAAGCGTCTACATTTTGTTATTAAAAATTTCAGTTTTTTTTTCAAAAATCTCGGTAACCTCTAAAGACATCCGAATTTTCGAAATGGCATATTATTGGTCATCATCACTAAAATACGCAAGTTTGCCCCAATTTAAACTACATTGTATCTCTTCAAATTACCGAGATCCCCATGTTGGAGCTCGAAAAACGGGCACCATGTATAATGTCTAATAAATATATAATATTTATTATTATAATAATATAACATTATATAATATATTAATGTTTTTATTTTTATTTAACGATTTTGATGGTCGATTGACTGGGATAATGCTTCTCATGTAGTAAAAAGAAGATGCGCACAATGCCAATAATTTTCTCATTATAAAAATATGTATGCTTTAACTTACTTTCCATTCAATTGTGCTTTCTCGTACTTATCACCTTCCGGGAAGTATTGATCAATTCATAGCAAATGTCTTAGTTGTCACTCACCTTTGGTCGAAAAAATTTCGACTTAACTTGATACACTTTGTTTGCTGCTACAAATAAGTCCTTATATTTATGCGCCCATTAATTACTTTATGTTAACACTATTATGCATCAGATCACGGGCGCAATGAATGCCAAGAGATCGGCGAAGAATGGTTATTTTATTACCTTTCATTATAAAATACAATATTCAAGATGCAAGATGAGGAATGTAGCTGATACATTTATTGAAAGAAAGAAAGAAAGTATAGGGTAAGCTGACCAATGAATGAACAAATAACGCAAATTCCTACTTTGTATTTCGAGAAAATTTTGAAAGTACCGTTGAAAGGTGCCGCAAACATTGCAAATAGGTTGTTCAATTGTTCAACAATGGAATAATTAAGCAAAAACTGCATCTTTTAACTCCATGCGTGTTAGACTTTATAATTTATTTAAAAATGCACGAGTTACCAGTGAATGAACAAGATGACCCTATTATTGAACATGAAAGGACTAGTAAATGAACACAGTATTTTTTAATGGTAATCCATTTATTAGAAAGTATTACATTCATATCTGAAGGTAAAAAAGTCCATTTGTGTTTTTAATCGGTTCTGAAATTTTTTTCTAAAATTTGCTTGGGTGATACCATATCTGATCTGGAATGCTCGACCATATCCTTTTCCTTTTTTACCATGACGCTAATTTCATACTCACCATCCACAACATTTTTCACTAAACCTGGATATCTTTTAGTTCCATATTTTACAACTACGTAGTCGTCGACTACTATGTCCAAATTTCCCGTAGTAGGTATGTATGTCCTCACATATTTCCCTTTTAGAATTTAAAAATGTTTGGCTTTTGCTAAGACCCATTTTTCCACTCGATCTTCTTCAGCATCTGATAAAACTGGCATAGGTCCCATTCCTCTCACATTCAGGACTTTATTGGTCACTTTATTGTGCAGAGTTGACTTTGGAATAAAATATTTGATGCTTTGTTTAAACTACTCCCAGACTCATTGGCCTGTATGAATAAAAGTAAGCAAATGCTTATACTTGCAAAATTCAAAGTAAATACTCGTAATTGCTCCTTCGCACTGGGCGACTTAGCAGCGCTTCAGCAGGGCGCAACGATATCTCATCAAACATCAATATGCAATATCGATCAAGTCTTTTCATTTTTTTTACAATTTGTTGTAAATGTTCAAAAATGTGTACATTTAATCCACAATACAAAGGTATTTGGGCTAGCACTTTTTTTAAAGTTCTTGGTGACGGTAATGCGAAAAAGTTTGTAGACAAGAACCTATAACTTTGGGCCTTGTTATAGGCAGAAATTGCAAAAATTTTGTCGTCCAAAGTAAATCTTCTACCTTTTGATTTTAATTTTTGGTTTTTAATTTGATTTAGAATGAAATTAAACGTAGGTCTGTTTACATACGTAAAAAGGTAATCAAAATTCTTGCCGTTTGTGATGGCTTGATATTTTTTTTTAAAGTCACATTTCTTGTTTCTAACCGCTTTGCTCTTCTTTTATAATATTTAAGCAAATGTACCTGCTGGCGGCAATCTGATGCAATCCCTGTAATAAATAAATGTGTCTTGCGCTGTACGAATACCTGGCTGGCACGGATAACAGTAAAGTAGGTTGAGTACGGACGTGATAGATGAAACATGTTTGATGGCGTTTTATTAAAGTATAATAAAATACACTACATGGCGCAGTCGGTAAAGACGATAAAGTGGGCAAAGCGATAGAGTTCGTAAATTCAGTGAAGTCTAAACGAGATGTCGAGTG